TGGTCTTCATACCCAATTTTAAAACCTGTAGACAGAGGCCACCAGCTCAAAACCAGCACAGATGTTCTGAACTGAATGGTGTGGCTTCTTTTCATGTAAATTCCTTTTGCCAAAATGGATGCAGTGGAATAACAATGTTTACAGGTACCAATCCCAGTCCCTGCTCAATGTAGCATTTTTTGGGTTTTGATTTCTTTATTAATAAAAGCAGGAGTAAGCTTTCTTTAAACTGCACAAACATGCAAGGACTTTTTTTAAATGGAAACTTCTCTCATGTTATTCACCTAGAGCACTTCAGTTTACAAAACAGCAAGTCCATCTTCATGGAAGCCAGCGCAAGGAACTGTATGCAAATTATGAAGACTTTTGCTTGGATCCTGTTTCAAAATTTTAGACCAGGGCTACCTTACACAGAATTGATAATTTACTGCCAGGATATTTCTGTGTAATCTCATTTATTGGCTAAAAAAATTGGTATTTTGAAGATGTGATATTCATTTGGGGTTTTGTCCATTATTATCAAATTGTAATCTTAAAAATCATAATGGTCAGTGATAGTTTAGTTTATCCTGAGGCAGTTGACTTGCTGAGGCACTGTCTACAAAGCCTAGGATGTTACCACTCAATCGTTTACATTTTGGGACACCTCTTAAGTTTGTAGCACTGCAGTTCAAAGTGTTAATATTTAGAGGAACTTCTAGATTTTATGCATAATGCAGTAGAACCTTGAAGTATATTTAAGCTATTTTGTTTAGCTTGAAAAATGTGAGTTCCTATCTGAAATAGAATGGTACGTTACCACTTTCAAGTTTTAAAAAGTGATAGACATTCAGATGCATCTCAGACTTTAGTTTTTTTATTTCAAACATTGTGAATGAGAAGCCATCGTCATAAACTTTGGTCATTTTTGCCCTAAGGACATGCATCTTTAAGTTATAAGGTGAATCAAAACAGTATGTAATACAGTATTAGGAAATAAGCTTTGCTTTTATAGTACAGTTAAAACAATTATTTTTTGCACCGTCTTAATTAAAAGTTTTGATTTTTACTAGTTGTATTGCTTTGCAAAAAACTTAAATGTTTGGCTGCATTGCTAATATATGTAAGTTGCTTCAAGGTTGTGCTGATGAGTAGATAGGCTGTAGTGGTCTTAGTGATTGAAAGGGAGGGTATTTATTATACAAACTGTGAACTGCAATGACATCCTTAGTTTTGGATGATATGTATTCTTGTTTTTCTTTGCAGCATTTTAATGAAGATTGCTTTGAAGTGTTTACGCAGTAGCACATTTACTATAAAATTTAGTTTAGCACAGTGGACAAAAGTAGTTAAATTAATAACTTAAAATCAGTCTCTAATTTATACAACTAAAGTCTAGCATTCCTGTATGCACACAGTATATATGGGTAGCCTGGGCTCTTTGTTGCTTTCTGATATTTTTATCCACGTTGTCAGCTTCTTATTGCTGTGTTGTGCTAAACTTTGACCCTTTTATCTTTCGTTAAAAATCAGTACACTTTTTATAATTTAGTAAGATACTGGCCATAAGCTTCCATTTTTAAAACTTTAATTTTCACTCCAGGTTTACAGTGGCTGGTCTGTATAAATAATTTACTCAAAGATGACTGAATGCTAATACCAGTTGCACTTAAATAAACATGCCCATTCTCATTAGCTGATGCAGTAATATATTCAGTTTATCTATGCATTGCTGGGATCTTGATATAAGATGGAAACAGTGTTTCTTGTCTAAAGTTTTGATTATCAGCAAGTTGAATGGACACTTTAGTTATTTAAATAATTTTTGACCAAAATCCAGAAAATGATATGAGAGAAAAATAAATTCCAGCTAGTGTAATAGATTTTTAATGCCGATATCTGATTTTAGCCTCTTAGAGAGGGCTAACTAGCTGGTAACGTTTACTTTTAATTCCTTGTTAAAATGAGGCAATAATTTGCAAGATTTTTGTATATATGTGTAAATCCTTCATATCTTTTTAGACCTAATTCAATATTTTCTGACTACTTCTGCCATGTATAATACCATTTTTGTGCATGCTTAATGTGACATTCATAAATTGTACCACTATGACTTTATCCATGTAAAATAGCTATTTATTGAATTTTCTTTTAAAAGCTGGATTTACTGGGTTTTTTCTTTCCGTTTAAACATTTTAACAGAATTTATTACTGTTTATTAAAAGAATTGCATTTGGAAATATGAAAATATCTGATTTGGAATCATATGAAGAAAACAATGCCTTTATTATTAAGTATTAAGCACAATTCTTATAACAAACTGTGATAAATTCTTTTTTTTTTCCTTGGCCGCATTATTTTCATATGAACAAACCAAAAATTCATGGTGAGAAACTGCAGTGTTGGCTGATAAATCTTTTATGTACAGGGAATTTGAAGAGGACAGTGGATTCATTTAGAAGTGTAACTGGTGCTGTGATTATAGCAATACTTTTGTTAGTCATATTTCATCTTTTTCCTGCTAGCTTTTTAAATGTTTAGTTTTCCTCTTGTCATGGTCAACTGCTGAATTTACTTGAAGGATGTAGAATACTGTTTTTTAAAAAACTAAAGTCTGTACAATTAGGTCAAAGAATTGTGCAATCATTTCCTTTTAATTTTTTAAATTGAGGGGCATAAATATTGAAGAACATTGATCTAATAGAGCATAGTGATACTATTTAATTTAACCAAAGTCTGTAGTAAATATTTCAACTCTGAATGTAAATTAACAAATAAACCTGACCACCAAGGAGATTGTTTGCCCAGAGTTTCAAAGCACATTGTCTACAAATGGAAATTGAAGTAATTTATAAAAATATTGACACTACTATGTTTTTTAAAAGTTCCTAATTTTTTCACTAAAAGGAGGAACCTATTAGTTTTATTGTTAAATATGGTAGATATTAATATTCCTCTTAGATGACCAGTGATTCCAGTTGTCCCAGTTTGAAATAAGTACCCTGTGAGTATGAAATAAATTAGTGACAATCAGAACAAGTTTTAGTATCCGGTATTCAAGAGGAAGTTGCTTGTTGCATTGATTTTAATATTTGTACATAAACACTGATTTTTTTGAGCATTATTTTGTATTTGTTGTATTTTAATACCTGGTGTACAGTTCCAGAAATAAAAATCTGGAAATCTTTTTTTTCTTGATTTGTGTGAATATTTGCCAAAACATGAACAAATCTTAAGCTATACCAAATGAGTAGATTTTGTATCAGTTTAAATTCATTTTAGATGTAGTAATATGTGATAGGTAAGTAATAAAGTTCATTGGTTTGCTTAAATCATCTATAATAGTTTCCCATCTGTAATAAAATTCTAACCATCCCAAAGTGATGATTCTGGTTTAGTTCAAGAAACATTTACTGAATGTCTGCTATGTCTCAAACACTGTTCTAGGCAGATGTCTTTTAGGAAGACATAGTAGGTATCTGAAATTAGATACTATGATTTGACAGATGATAGTGTTTATGGTTAGCTATCATGTACTATTAATACATTTATCAACTGTAGTCATCTTTTTTTCAAACTAGAAATCTTAGCTTTATCACACTTTTGTCCCCATGTTTTATTTGCTCTTTCTAGAGCTTTCTGTGGTTCCATTTTTAACTTACAGTTATCAGTCTGCACATATATCCAGATTTTGTAAAATGCCAAGAAAGGGACAAAAATGAAAGTAAAAACCTCATCTCTTCTGCCTTGGTTATCTGGAACCACATCCCTTCATTCTCAGCAAAGGGCCTTACTGTGAGGGATCTGGGATGGCCACATGCACAAAAGCACAAGGAATTTGAATACAGCCAAAATGCTGTCAAATGCCATTGTGAGAACTAACAGTACTTTAGGCTTTAGGGGAAAGAAGCTCAGTGGAGGCAGAATAGTTTCCAGTGACTTCATTGACATCATTGCCAAAATGACTTCCTATTTGGGTTCCCTGTTTCCACTCTTGTAACTTATTAATTTTACATTTACTATAATGTAAATGTAAGCCTTCTGGTCATAATTGCTATAGAGAAAATTACAGAAGTAGACTGGGGAGTATTGAGGGAGTAGAGAGAGGTCTGTAAATTTTGATAGGATGGTAGGCATGCCTCAGAAGGTGACAGGGAAAGCTTTGTAGGTATCTGGGGAAGGGCTTCTGCAGGCAGAGAATGAGTTTCCTGAGGCAGGCATGCTGGGATGGAATGAGCAAGAGGGAGAGTAGAAGGTGAGGTCTGGGGCAATAGCTAGATCATGTATGTGAAGGACTTGAACATTGATTTCATGATAGGGTTCTGAGCAGGGGTGTGTCATATGACTAAAATAATCACTTGGGGGGCTATTCTGGAGGGGCAGGGGTGAAGCAGAGAAGCCAGTCAGGAAGCTGTTGACATGACAATAAACAAGGTAAAATAACAGCAGTAAAGGTGGTCAGAATCTGATTATGCTGTTTCCAGGATGATTTGCAGGACCCAATAAAACCCTTATCCATGTTTGGAACTGAGAGTTGGAGCAAGTCAGATAGACTGAGATGAAAGTAACTAAATACAACTCCAGGGCAGGTGTCAGAGCTTCAGCTGTTCGGGCTTGCTAATGCTTCACTTTTGGACTAAACTCATGTCTCTGTGCAGTCCAGGGCACATTCATTCTGCTAGCAAGTAGGGGCCACAGAGAAAGCTGGAAGGATGTGGGCAATGAGTGCCCTGTTCTCCAAAAATACCCTCAGAAAGTCACATTTTCAGTGCATGGAGAGGATAGGAGCATGTCTAATGAAAAGTCCACACAAAAACAGACATGGAGATTAGCTATTCCTTCCATCAACACTATCTTTTAATTGCATTCCTATACTAAAATAATCTCTCATATTCTTTTTTGGGGGGGGGGAGGAGGGATGTTCAGTGAGTAAAGAAAAGAGGATAATGACCTCATATTTTGCCCTTATCCAGATAGAACAATTTTTAAGTTATATATAAACACATCAATTTACTCATGACAACACTTACCTATTTTTTATTCTGTGAAATTAAAAGTTTTTACAGAAGTTTGTACACATCAACATTATAAGAATTGCTAGTGCTTGGCTAAAATTTTATAAATTAACACAGTGGTATACAAAATAAATTGAAATTACAGTGCAAATAGTTTTAATTTAATAAACTATCGTTTATTAAAAAACCAACTAAATTGTACTTGCAGTACAAATTTTGAAATTGTAATGAAGCAAGTCACTTTTTCCATGAAACTGGAACATAACTGTAATATCAATAAAACAATTCTTAGTTAAGATTCAAAATATTTTTTCTACAGGTGGAACTCAGAATGATCAACAAAAGAACATTTAGAGTTAATGTGGTCACTAAGTAGAAAACCCAATTTCTAATTCACTAAGTTAGCTGACAATTGTATAGTAGTTTGAAAAGAGCTCTTCTCCTTGCTTGATGTCCCTCAGTGCAACAAGAACAACACATCGAAGTGGGCTGAAAAAGAAAAATATGAAAAAGGTATAAACAAATACAAGCTCATATTTTTAATGTAACCAACATGGATTTTATAGTTGTAACTTTCTTTCCTCTTAGATTACTTACATTTCAGTATATATGTTCAATTTCCATGAGGAAATCGTTATCTTTCCTATACAGGTACAGTATTCTAGAGTCCATCTGTTCTTTGTCATTTAAATAGACTGAACACATAATGGACTTAACAAATTGATCAGTGAGTATAAATAAGACACAAATAAAAAGCTGAATTAATGAAAATGATGAGTTTAGTAAAGAATTAGCATCCATGAAAGGGTACCAAACAGAAATCCAGGAGTTAGAAATTCTCTTGAAAGTACGGGCAGCAGAAGTGACTTGTGTGAAGAGAACATGTCAGAACTAAAGGATAGGACTAATGCAGGTAACCATTTACCTAAAGATATCTTAAGAGATGGGGATTTAGCTCAGTGGCACCATGCCTCCTTGCAAGCGCAAGGTCCTGAGTTCAGTCCCTGGTAACAAAATAAATAAATAAAGAAATCATAAAAAACTAAGAGGTCACGGAAAATGATACAATTGCTAGATGACCCAAAGAAGACTAATTTAAGAGTAAATGGAATTAGAGAAAAATTAGAAGATGGCATGAATGGCATAAAAAAATCTATGTATAGAATCATGGCAGAAAACCTTCCAATATGGGGAAATAATTCAACATACCGGTAAGTGAGGCATATAGAACCCTGAATAGCCATGATCAGAAAAGAACCGTTCTATGACATATCACAGTAAAAATTCCAGAAGTCCAACACAGGACAGAACTTTGAAAGCTGTTACAGAAAAACAACAAATCACCCATGAAGGTAAACCTACTAGAATTACTGCAAATTTCCTAAAACAAACTTTAAATGCCCAAAGAGCTTGGAGAGAAATTCTTCAAACCCTAAAAGAAACAACTTTCAACCCAGACTAATAGATCTTGAAAAAAATTTTGCACCACTGATGGAAACATTAGGACCTTCCACAACAAGAAGCACCTTAGAGCATCTTAAGTATCTTAAATTCACCATAACCAAACGAGTACTACAACAAATACTTCAAGATATCCTAGACAGAGACAATGAAGACATGAATTCAAAGAACCTTTGGAATGAATATAGCCAGAAGAGTGAGCAGTCAAGCAAAAGGAAAAAATCAAGGAATTAGCAAAAGAAAAACAACAAAATGATAGGAATCAGTAAATACTTTTCAATGTAAATGGACTCAATTCAGCATGCAAAAGACACAGAAAGGCAGACTGGATTAAAAAAACAAAACTTGCCAGGCATGTCAGTACATGCCTGTAATTGCAGTACTTGGGAGGCTGAGGCAGGAAGATGGCCATGAGTTGATGGTCAGGCTGACCTACATAGTTCAAGGCCAGCCTGCAGTGCATAGTGAGATCCTGTCTCCAAAAAAAAAATCCCAAGCTAAACGAAACCAAACAAAACACCCCAATGATATGCTGCCTACAAGAAACATATTTAGGGCTAGGGATTTAGCTCAGTGGTTCCACCACCTGCCTCACAAGGGCAAGATCTCGAGTTCGATCCCCAGTACCAAAAAAAAAGAAAACAAATATTTAATATTTTAAGAAGTCCATAGATTAAAAATCAAAAATGGAAAACAATTGCTCATGCAACAAGAGCCCAAAAGCAAGCAAGAGGAGCTATCCTAATTTCAGACAAAGTGGACTTCAAGCCAAAACTATCAGAAGAGACAAAGAGGGTCACTACAAACAGGTAAAGGGAATAATTCAACAGGAAGAGATAACAATTATAAATATCTAAACACCAAATACCAGAGCACCCAACTCCATAAAACAAATACTACTGGACATGAAAGATCAGATAAAAACATAATTATAGTGGGGGACCTCAATTCCTCACCTTCACAAATAGATCAACTAGACAAAAAAAAATCAAAGAAATATCAGAGTTGCACCACACCTTTGAACAAATGGACTTAATAGATATCTCAAGAGTATTCAACTCAACAACAAAGGACACACATTCTTCTCAGCTGTACACAGTACTCTGTTCACAACAGACTCCATACTAGGCCATAAAGCTTGCTTAAATAAACACAATAAAATGGAAGTCTCCCCATGTGTATTATCATTTCACAGTACAATGAAACTATAAATTAATGGCAAGATAAACTACAGAAATTATGTAAACACATGGAGGGTAAATAATATACTCTTGAATAATCAATGGGTCACAAAAGAAATGAAAGAAGTCAAACATTTCGTAGAACCAAATAATAATGCCAATACAATATATGAGAAGCTATGAAACACAGCAAAAGCAGTTCTAAGAGGGAAGTGTATTGTTGTGAATGCCCATATCAGAAAAACAAAGCAATCTCAAATAACCTAATGATGCACCTCAAGGCTTTAGAAAAGGAAGAACAATCCAAATCCAAAACTAGTACAAGGAAGAATATTATAAAGACCAGAGAGGAAATTAATGAAATTGAGACTAAAGAAACAATACAAAGAATTAATGATCTGAAGAGATGCTTCTTCAAAAGATAAACAAAATAGGGGGCCGGGGATTTAGCTCAGTGGTGCCACCGCCTGTCTCGCAAGTGCAAGGTCCTGAGTTTGATTGCTGGTACAAAAAAAAAAAAAAGATAAAATAGACAAACTCTTAGCCAAACTTACCAAAAGAAGGAAAGATAAAGCCTACATCAATACAATTACAAATGAAAAAGTCAAAATCACAGTGAACATTCCAAAATCCAGAGCATTACAGTAACTATTTCAAAATAAATTGGAGCTACTAGAAGAAATGGGCAAATTTCTAGAGTCATATAAATTACCAAACTGAACCAAGAAGATACAAAAATACTGAATGGTCCAGTAATAAGCAATGAAATTAGTAGCAGTAATAAAAGACCTACCAACTAAGAATAGCCCAGGAACCAATGGATTCACTGCTGAATCCTACAAAAGAGGGGAGATCTAATGGCAATACTCCTCAAATTCTTCAATGGAATTGGAAAGGAAGGAGCACTGCCAAACTCATTCCTGGAAGCTAGCATTACCCTGATAACAAAACCAGACAAAGAATGAACAACAACAAAAAAAGAAAACTGAAGGTCAATTTCTTTAATAAACATAAATGCAAAGATCCTCAACAAGATAGAGGCAAACAAAACACAACAAATCATTGAAAAGATCATACATTATGAACAAGTAGGCCTCATCCTCAGGATGCACACATTGTTCAATATATGCAAATTAATGTGATATATCACAAACAGAAGGAAGGACAAAAACCACATGATCATCTCAATAGACACAGAAAAAGCCTTTGACAAAATCCAACAGCCATTTATGATTAAAAAAACTGAAAAGGACTTTATGTCAAACTGACAAAATCTATTTGACAAGTCTACTGCTGATACGATACTAAATTTCCCTAAAATAACAAATAAGACAATGTTATCCACCATTCCTGTTCAATACAGTACTTGCAACTTTAGCCAGAGTTATCAGGCAAGAGAAAGAAATAAGAATATATAGTGGAAAGGAAGAAGTCAAACTATCTTTATTTGCAGATGACAAGATCTTATATTTAGAAGACCCCAAAAAATTCCACCAAAAGAGCCCTAGAAGAAGCAAATTCAGCAAAAAAGCAGGATACACACAAAATCAATATTATTCCTGCACACCAATAATGAACACACCGAGAAGGAAATCAAGAAAACAATACCATTCACAATAGCTTCAAAAAAATTAAATACTTAGGTATCAATTTAACCAAGGAAGTGAAAGACCTCTAACAACAAAACTATAGTACTCTGAAAAACAGGACTGAAGAGGACATCAGGAAATGAAAAGCCATCCTTATTCCTAGAACCAATATTGTCAAAACCAGTATTGTCAAAATGGCCATAAAGTGTCATATAGACTTGATGTAATTCCAATCAAATTATCAATAGCGTTCTTCACAAAAATGGAGAAAACAATCCTAAAATTCATATAGAACCACAAGAAACCAAGAATAGCAAAAGTAATCCTTGGCAACAGGAACAAAGCAAGATACATCACAATTCTGGATCTCAAGCTTTATTACAAAGCTACAGTGATAAAAACCTATATAGTTTTTTCTTAGAAATTTTATATGTTTAAGTACAGCATAAGATAGAAGATACAAAATGTTCTTTCAGAAAACTAACCTTTGTTTGTCATAGCTGTAGGCAATGTTTGGAAGATACTGCTTCAATTCTATAGGGAAAACTGCAGGCACCTCAAATTCCTGATAACAAACATTAGCTGGCCTGTCTAGGAACAAGTACACACTTTTCAGAAAGAGAGCCATGACAAAAGGTCATGGAAAACAGTATTGAATTCTAACACTTGATGTATGTTTTCCTAAATTAAATTTCTAAATTGAACATTCTCAAATAAATAATTAGTATTATATTTCAGACACTATTAGATTTTTATATATCTATAACCATACCTATCTCTATGATAAACTATAAATAATAAAATAACATCCAAAGAGTAAATTAAAAAGTATGTGTTTACATATACTTTACATATACCTATATAATAAACATATATGTGTTTTATTGTTTACTTCTTAAATATCAGGCAATAGAAATTCAGAATGGTTAACACTTAAATAAAAGACTCAGGGTTTTAAGAGTTCACAGCTCCCTAACAAGTTCATATCTCCCTAACACAGTTAGCCTACATGCTAAATGTAGTCAGATGATCAAACTTTTACCTACAGAAAAATCAAGTCTCAAAAAAGGTAAGTGAATCACAAATAGCAACAGAAAGGCTGCATTAGTCTAGTGATTAACCTAGGATAAGACTGTTTCAAGACATTGATAAAATAATCATTACTAAAAATGCTAAAATAATAATGATCAAAGGGTATTTATTATCAAGTTCATATTCATTACAAATTCAGAACAAAATAATAAAGATTTCAAAGGATATATATTATTATTTTCTCAAATTCTCTTTTTGATATAGTCCCTGGAAAAGTTACAGTTGGTTAAGGTCTTTGAATAGCTGAGATGTTACTCAACTGGCTTTGGTACTCGGTCATATGGCAAAGGAGAATTATCCATTATTTACCTCATCTCAGATCTCTACATTGCCAACTTACCATTTGAACAATTGTTGACATACTGTCCTACAGCCAGTGGATTACAAATTTCTGATGTTAGCCATGTACTATCACTCATTTTTAAAGGGCCAATCCTATCTCTTCCACTGCATGATCTGAAACAGGTAAAAGTATTAGTTAAGGGACTGTTTTATATCTTAAAATAGAATTTTTATAAAAACTATAACTAAACAAGTATGATTTTGTTTTAAAAATTTTTGTGTAATCAATCAGATAACTCAGTTGTCACGTAGCAGCCACCTAACAGAATTTTAAAATTAAAGTTCAAATGCTATAGACTATAATCACATGGGAAGTGTGATTCTTTTTTTTTTTTTTTTGGTTCCAGGGGTCGAACTCAGGTCCTTGCGCTTACAGGGCAGGCGGTGGAACCACTGAGCTAAATCCCTGGCTGGGAAGTATGATTCTATAGCCTGTAACTAAATTTGGATACAGGCATCACTTACCTGTACACAGCTTTTGATATTCCTTTGTCATTTCCATCAATGAGTACTCCATCCAGGCATCTAAAAATAAATGGGTTTCCAATGGATTGGAAAAAGATTGGCTCATACTTCTGATATATTGTACCTATTACACAGCAAAACAAAGACATATTATAGCACATGTAAAAATTTTAAAAATCCAACCCTAGGGTGGTGGTGCATATCTGTAATCCCAGCACTCTACAAGGCTGAAGCAGAAAGACCTAAATTTGAGCCCAGCCAGAGAAACTTACTGAGTGAGCCCCCATCTCAAAAATTTAAAAAAAATTTTTTTTTAAAAGCTGGGGATATACCTCAGCATGAAAGGTTTCAGTTCAATCCTCAGTGCTGATAAAACAAATCCAAATAAAGATCTTTCTTTGGAACATAAACACATAATGGAAGAATATGTTTTAATTCCTCCATCCCTTTTTAAACATTTTACGTCCAATCCAGAAATTCTCTTAGGTTACTTTCCCCCTTTAAAGAATCTGTGCCCAGTAGTAGATGAAACACAGAACCAACTATCCACACAGAAGAAAATATGCTTATTTTGCTTTATAATAATATGAACATCATATTTTAAGTTCAGTTTTATAACATACTTTGTTTTAAATTGAGTGTGATATGACATCAATGAAGAGTCTTTTACAAAATGCATTTTGTTAATAAATAATGCAGGCACATCTGGGAATAGTCTGACATTCAGGCCATTTCTTCTTTTACTCACAGATTAAGAAATGAGAAAATTAATATTACAAGGCGCTTCCTATTTGCCTGCCATGTTAACCTATTTATTGAATTTATTTTAGTATTAATTTGTTTGTTGGCTTGTTTTACCGAATCTTCACAGAGTTAGGTTAGCAGTACAGAAGTTTTACAGTTGTTTAGGGACATAAAATAACAACGATTTTTTTTTTAAGTATATGTCTATCTAACACAAACATTCACACAAAGACACACACACACACTTTCCACTATACCAGATAACATTAGTATAACAAATAACATACATATTCTAATGAACATTTTAGTCAATGATCTTTGGCAAAGAAGTTGCTTTAAGTTCCATGGGCAGAAAAAGCAGGAAAGTCTTCATTCGTTTATTTATGGGTTTAAACTCTTTCGTGTTCTTATTCACACTTTTTTTTTGTGGGGGGGTACCGGGGATCGAACTCAAGACCTTTCGCTTGCAAAGCAGGTGCCAGAACCACTGAGCTAAATCCCAGCCTTATTCACATCTTTTAACTCTTTAGTCATCAACTAAACCAAACTGACTTGTTCCCTAATGCTTTTTAAGTAACTTATTAAAGGGGGCATTTGTGTTCAAAATTGAAACAGTGACTCAAAAAAAAATTTCCGTAAAAGAAAAATGCATTTATCCCAACAAATACACCAGGATACTTTCTAACACACAACATAATTTATAAACATTTAATTCACAAGTTATAATATTTTTAAAAGCTATAGAAACCTAGGTTTCCAGTTCAATTCTTTAAGGATTACAGGTCTAGGTATTATCAGTATACAAGAAACTCTTGTCAGTACTAATTGAGTTGTTACCAGGATAAATAGATACAACTGCGCCTTTCGGTACCAATCCTTTAGTAACGAAGACACCTCTTCCTGCAGAAATCAATGAACTAGTTGCTCGGGCAACACTGAAACCCAATGTTTTATAAAGAATTTCTTCTGGCTTAAAAATATTTTGCTGCTGATGTCTGTTGTCAACCAGATTCACCCTTTGATGCTGAAGTGTCAGTAGGTCTTGATATTTTGACTTAACAGGTTCTGGAAGCATAGTCAAGATATCTGATTGTTTATTGAGATCATTTAAGAATAAAGCCTGGAAAACTTTCAGTAATGTTCCTAGGACATCTTCATCTGGAGTAACTTTGTCTTTGGATTCCTCTGGAACATACCGAAGGGTCCTGCAAATGGGAAAAGTTTCCATTCACTACACTTCAACTGATAAAAGCCACACTGTCTTGATCCTTTGAGTTACTGTCTTTAATAAACTGTAAGATTATTCTTGAGTGGAGCAGTGTGAGGAAGAGGCAAGAACGACCCCGGACCGACCAAAGCCGCGCGCCGCTGCATCTCACGTCCAGCGCCTGCGTCCCGCTGCCGTCGCCACCATGCCCAAGAGAAAGGCTGAAGGGGATGCTAAAGGTGATAAAGCCAAGGTGAAGGACGAACCACAGAGAAGATCCGTAAGGTTGTCTGCTAAACCAGCTCCTCCAAAGCCAAAGCCCAAGCCTAAAAAGGCCCCTGCAAAGAAGGGAGAGAAGGTACCCAAAGGGAAAAAGGGAAAAGCTGATGCCGGCAAGGATGGGAATAACCCTGCAGAAAATGGAGATGCCAAAACAGACTAGGCACAAAAAGCTGAAGGTGCTGGAGATGCCAAGTGAAGTGTGTGCATTTTTGATAACTGTGTACTTCTGGTGACTGTACAGTTTGAAATACTATTTTTTTATCAAGTTTTATAAAAATGCAGAATTTTGTTTTACTTTTTTTTTAAGCTATGTTGTTAGCACACAGAACATTTCATTGTTGTTTTTTGGGGAAGGAGCATATGTCACTAGTACAGTGTCTCCAAAGCTGGATTGATGTGGAGAAAGCACCTTTCCCTGCTAGTTTTGAGAGACTTCCTCTCGGCTCCCAGGAGGAGGGATTCCCTGATGTTGACACCTGTAGCCACCTTGGCACAAATGCCTTGTGCTACAGGAAAACTCCTAGTTCATTTTATGTCCTCCTTTCCTCTGCCATCAGCATAGACTTAACTCCCTTAAGCCCAGGGACCTACTGGGACCTGACTCCCAAAAATTGATGTTACCAGTGTGTCAAGCATTCTGGACTTGCCAGTGACGTTGAGATGCTGTCCCAAAAGAACAATGATTTCCTTTTCTAGATTGTGGATCTTCAGACTGATAATTCTGCCATTTTCATTTCATTTTCTGAAAGTCAGGGTCAGCTCATGAAAAGTTGTTAAACAACATGCTAAATGTGAAGTGTCAACCCTCACTCTAAACTTTCCCTACTCAGAGCATCAAATGAAGACTTCATTGGATTTTATAGTGGTTTTCTGATTTTTTGGTAGTCCATCCAAGAAGGGAGTTTGAAAGTTGTATACTGTTAACGATGTGCTCATGTCCTGCCTGAAATACCATGATTGTTTATGAAAAGTATCTTTAATAAAGCTGGATACAGTCTGGCTTGGAAAAAAAAAAGATTATTCTTGAGTGTTTCTAGGGTATAAAACTAGGAAATTCCTTAAAGAATAGTTTGAGGTAGCTCTAGGTACCTAGCTTCCAACAATGCCCACACAAGTAGCCAATTTATGAAAGGCTCTTTCTATACCACATGCTGTCAGCTACTTACATACTTTACCCCTTTTCCGCAATGAAACTGAGCCTTGGCGATGTTAGGAAACTTACTCAACGTCCTAAAGCCGCCAAGTGGCAGAATTAAAATCGTAGCTCAGATCTTCGCCTCACTACACTCAACAGCTTCTTGAATGTCATTACCTAATGAGAACCCTCACACTGTAACTGCTTTTTGCATAGGCTTGTATTTTCAAAGACAAATTTAACATTCTATCCTTTGTCACAATCTCTCCCAGATGTACTTTTTAAATGACTTTTATTTCCATAACTATAGTATTTTTTGTAATTGTATTTTTACTTCTGAACAAAAACGAAGCAATTCCTGAACCTCTCACAATTCTATAGTAATGATGCATCTGAATTCGAGTTTCTGTAGTATGAAACTTAGTTTTTCAGAAACTGGCCTTCAGCGGAAACTAATCTACTTGGTGAGCACCGTGTTGACTTCTTGCAAATCACAAGCTTGGGGCCACTACATTGTCCGTCTCCAAGGCGACCCATTAAACTAGCAGGTCAGATCAGGAACCATAAACCTAACACTGACGTGCTTTCAGTTGCTTTTTGCACGTTTTTGTGTGTTAGCTACTCCAAGCTGTTATCCTCACAGCCCAGCTGGGTTTTCAACACGTAAATTACTTCTATGGAGCTGTGAAAATAAAGCTTAGCTTTTTTGAGGCGGTTCAAGCACCTAACTTTGCCTTGGCAGAGAAAAGGCCTGTGCTCACGCAGTTAAAATACTTCAGGTTTCGGGGGGGGGGTGTCCAAATACTGAGGCCCAGCCAATGCGGACCGGAGAGAAAACAGTCACCACCACCAGAGGAAAATCCCGGCTTGAGGGCCTCGAGGAGTGGCACTCTGGAAAGGAGGAAACAGGCCCCGCCCACCTAAGGCCACCACCGGCTTCCGACGCCAGCCCGCCAGACTCAGAGAGCCCGGGCCTGGCCCCGGCTCCGCCCACCGCAGGCTCCACCCACAATGGGCTCGCCCAGCTCAAACCCCGCTGCGGCTTCGGTCTCCGCCCTCCTCAGCCAGCTCCTCGGCCTCAGGTCCCGCCCTCCTTGGGCTCCCGCTTCAGGTCGCCGGAGGCTCCACCAGCCTCTGGCCGGCGACCGAAGCGGCGTCAGGGGCTGAGTGAAGGAAAGTATCTAGTCCGGGCGCCCTCTCACCTCGGGTTGTGGCTCAGGTTCAGCGCGATCCAGGGGACGAAGCGGTACTTGTAACGGCTCCAACGCCTCCACAGGCCCCGCAGCAGGCGGCCGGGCATGGCTGCCCAAGGCGTGACGAGGGCGGCGCGGGAGAGGCGGGCGCGGTCGCGGGCCCGCCCTGGCTGGGGAGGAGCGGGGCCGCGCTGTCCCTCCCTCCTCGGTCTCGCCCGGTAGTAGTTCCCCTTTACTGACTCCAGCTCGCTGAATCCGAGGCGCGCTGAGAGGAGCACCCTCGCTCCCCTTTCCTTTCTCCAGGACGCGAGCGACTTTGCGGACACGCGCAGGAGCCCTGCCTGTGCGCCACGGGTCCTCGGGACCTCCAGCCCCTGAGGGCCGCGCCAGGAGTGGACCGCTCGCTTCCTTGGTCGAGGCTGTCGGCATCTGCTTGGCCCGGTCTTCTGACCAAAGGTCGTCTGCCCTTTGTTCTACACCATGCCCCGAACCTCTGTCTTCTCTCCATTGCTTCCAGCAGCCTGAATCTTCCTGAACAAATTCCAGTCCCACTGCAGATGTCGAGCTCTTCCATCAGACAGAACGAACGCATCTTCCAAAAAGTCATCAATGTGAGGGATTTGCAAATATCTAACCATAAAAGAACAAAATATGGTAATGCCCCTTTTCGTTCTAGCTTTCTCTTTATTCTTCCAGACAACCAGAGGCAAAACTACACGGACAAAGATTTATTTTTAAAGCAGCTAATTGAGGTATGGTGGTGCACGATAAACTGCACATTTTAAAAATGAACAATTTGATGTTTTTGACATACGTATACATCCGTGAAACTACCATAATCCAGATAGTGAATGTATCCATCACTTCCAAAAATTCTTTTATGACTTTGTATAATCCCTCTATGCAGTTTTTCCCCAACTTCCAGCAACCATTGATCTGCTTTTTTTTGTCACTGGGTGAGTTTCAAGTATCACCTTTTTAGTAATTCTTGGATTTATTTGGCAAAGTTTTGCTTAGAGGTTTTGCATCTGTGTTCATGGGTAATATTGTCTGTAGTTTTCTTTAATGTCGTCTCAGGTACTTTCTTGTGGCTGAGACAAAATATCCAACACCCAAAGTTAAAGGAGGAAAGGTTTATCTCAGGTCACAGTTTGTAAAGGTTTTGGTCTATAGTAGGCTGGCTCCAAGGCAGGGTGACATGGCAGAGGAGACATAGTCCATGGCAAAGCAGGCAGGAGGCAGCAAGTAACAAGCAGCAGCCTGCTTTTTCTGTCCCCTTATATTCCATCCAGGCTACAAGCCTATTAATTGGTGCCACCCATACCCAGGTGGAACTTATATTATCCACATACGTAATCCCATTATCACACCCTTAATTCACATTCTCACACCCTAATCCAGCCATCTTTGAAACTCCCCACCTATGACTGAACAAGGCTTTGGGGAAATATCCAGATACAACCATAATGATGTCTTTTATCAGTTTTGATATTTAATTCTAGCCTCAGAGTAAGGTGGGAATTAGTCCCTCTTATAGGTGAAATTTGAAAGGACTTTTCCATCTTCCAACTTGTCTCCTCAACACACACACACACACACACACACACACACACACACACACACACACAATTTAGACAAAGCTCAGTTCCAATAGGGGCAAACTACAAGAATCTCTAAATCTTCAAATCAACACATATTTTTTTTCAGGATGAAAAGTTGACTTCCTTATTTTTGCCTGAGAGTGAAGGCGAATCAAAAAGTCAAAATTGTACCATTCAGATACAGTGAAAATTCTCAGGGGCCTTAGGAATAATTCATTCTATTCTGAAAGAAATAAAGGGGAGAAATGTTTTGGTAATGTCTGTTTCACTCTGATATATAGGATGTTGGCAAACTCTAGAGACTTTCTCTTCAGACTCTGGTTAGTCCATATTACAGAACCTACTAAATGGAGTCAATTCAGCTCTAGGATGTATTCATACATGCCACATGAAGAAAAATTTGTGTATGTTTTCAGTGGTTATTTATGGTATGATAATTTTATTTAGCTAAGAAAGTCATGAAAACTGCATTCTTCCTAGAACAAATGAAATCATGATCCTGAAGTCTTCTTTAAACAAACCTGATACTCCATACTTCCACCAATCCTCCTTAATCCTCTCCTAAACAGACATGTGTTTTCTGCCAGTCTTATTTCTATGCATTTACATTCCTGTGCATGTCCCCATGGGACATAGTATTTGTGGGAGTGTTTTAAAAATGCTGCCATAAGTATCTACATTTTTTTTCTTTCAACTTAAAAAATTTTTTTTTCCAGTACTGGGGATTGAACCCAGAGCCTTCAAAATGAGCTACTCCCCCCTTTTAAAATTTTTATTTTGAGTCAGGGTCTCACTAAGTAACCAGGCCAGGCTCAAACTTGGGATTCTCCTACCTTAGCCTGTCAGAGTGCTGGGATTATAGGCATGTACTCCCATGGTCAACTGTAATTTCTTTTATTTATTCAAAAGTATATCTTGAAAATCTACCCAGGTAAGTTTGTCCAAGTCCACTTCATTTTTCTATTTCTAAGGTATTACCTTCAAATTTAATATTTTTTGTAATTTGCTGGTAGATGTATTTATGAACTTTTTTATAGTTCTGCTTTTGGCTGTCCAAGAATTCTTATCTGCTTTAAATTTGTAATGAATGATCAATTATTAATTACAAGTGCTTTTCTCTGCTACTTACTGAGATGACAATATAGCTTCTTGCCTTCTGTTAACAAAGTGAATTAGTGACACCTTGTCAAATGTTAAATCATCCTTGGATTCTGAGATAATTCTACTAAATTAGTTCCTTTTTGGTCAGACTTTATAGTTTTTTATATATATATGTATGCTACTGTTGCCATCCTATATCTATTTTGAAGTGTTTTTAAATTTTCAAATAGAATTTGCCAGTGAAAACATAAGGGCTTGTACCTTTCTTTGATAACAAAGTGAATTTCTTCTAGTGATGTAAGACTATTCAAAATTTTTGTTTATCTCACGCCAAGTTTGGTAAATTATTTTTTTATGAAATTTATTCATTTTGGTCTAGGTTGTCAAAATATAGGCATAGTTGTTCATATATACTGTCTTACTGTCCTTCTGTCTATATTATATACAGTAATAACCACTTTTGTTCCTGAATTTGATGATTTGTGTTCTATTTCCTATTAAGCATGAGCAGGAAGTTGTCAGTTTTTTCAAAGAAACAGCCTTGACTTCAATTTTCCCTGTTTATTTTCTATTTTGGTGATTTCTGTTCTTATTCTTATTCTTTTATATTTTCCTCTTATTGGGAACTTATTTTGCTTTTCTTTTCCTAGTTTCTTAAAGCAAAGTATTTGGTCCCTGATTTTAGTCCTTTATTCTTTCTTAATATAATTACCTAAGGTTAAGTTTATTTTTTAATTAATTTTATTGGTATATTTTAGGTATACCATATAATGACATTCATCATTGGACATTTGTACATTTACATAATATATCTTGATTCTTATTTTTTTCCCCATTCCAAAGTTATAACTTTCCATCTAAGCTTTACTTCAGCCAAATCCCAAGAATTTTAATAAGTTGTATTTTTATTATCATTCAGTAGAAAATACTATAAAATTTCCCTTGCTCTTTAATCTATAGATTATTTAGAAATGTTTCTAACTTTCAAATATTTAGGATTACTAGATATCTTTTGGTTTTTAATTTCTTTTTTTTTGTATTAAATTCTTTTAT